TAATACATAACGGCTGCCATGCACTGTTGAATTTCTGACAGTGATCTCAACAGCTACTTACAAACCAACCTCAGCATTTACAACTTTTTAATTACAGAAACCCAGAGACTTGCAACACATCTTGCTTTCATGGCCTAAACAGTATAATCAGTGACTTTATCCAGGACTGCACAATAATGTTCCTGTTCACTGGGGAATAGAGCATAGCAATTTTTACACAGCAGCAACATCATGTTTTAATCCTGCATACTCCACAAATATCAGCCTAGGTCTTCTGCTTTTTTTATGCCAAGCAGAAAAAAGAAAGGAAGGAAAAGAAATTTGTTTTAAAATGCAGAAGGAAGAAAAATTCCAATAGCATCTTATTCCATAAGTAATGTCATTAAAGTTGTTTGGATTCCACACAAACAGAGGCACGGGGATGTAGGAGACTGAGACATCAATTAGGTGGCTATGGGATGCAACTAATGAAGATGACTCTGAGAGAATGAGACTGAACACAGTCAATATATACAGCAAAGGTAAATCCAGAATCAAGAGGAAGTGCAATTTTTGATTTCTCGGAAAACAATATTCTCTACTTATATGTTGCCATTTACTAAAGGCTCTGAGTGTGCTTTTCAAGGTATTATGTCCATTTCCCAGAAGGGGTAATAAAGGCACAGAGAAGTTATAGCCTTCATTTTCAACTATCCACTTATTTTAAGAGCCTAATTTGAGACACTTGGGGCCTAGTTTTCAGAGGTGTTGAGCACTCACAACTCAAGCTGAAGTCCATTGGAATTCTGGGTACTCACACCTCTGCAAATTGTAAAGGATTGTTGAAACATGTCCTTTACACTGGTGAAAGCACTTGAGGGTATGCTGAAGGAAATAGTCTTCCATGGGCAGGGGACACACAAGATGCCCTAATAGAGAGACAAGGTGAGTGAGGTAATATCTTTTATTGGACCAAGATGTGTTGGTGAGAGAGACAAGCTTTCAAGCCACACAGAGCTCTTCTTCAGGTCTGGGAAATCCCAGCATCACAACAAAATGCAAGGTGGAACAGATTATTTTAGCACATATTGTAAGGGACCATTCAAAGTAGAGTGGCCCATTAATACCTCTGAAGTCATAGGACAAAAAGAGGAGGTTAGTGGGTTACAGAGTGTTGTAATAAACCATAAATCCTGTGTCTCTGTTCAGTCCATGATTTTTGGTGTCTTGCAGAGTAATGAAATTAAGCTCCCAGGCTCGTCTTTTGAAAGTGTTGTGCAGGTTTCCTTTGAGGATGAGGACTGATAGCTCAAATATAGAGAAATAGTTATTTTCTATATCTTATTTCTGAGAATAAAATACAACTGAAAGTAAGGCTCCAAGTTCCACCTCAGAGAGCTCTGATATTAGTACAGTCTGATGTGTGCAGAATCCCTTGCTGGAATTACAACATTATTATTCAGAGTTTGGGGGAATATTAAAAAATCAGAGTTTATAATACCAGCAATAAATTAGACAAACATTGACCACTAATGCCTTTTGATACAAAGATGATGTTTCCAAATTTAGTACAATATATTTTTCAACATTAACTTTCTAGCAACATGCACAAATAAAGCCATACACATACCAGCAAACTGTATGCTAGCTAGAAAAGTTTAGCTGATGACAGTCTTGTTATTGTAACAGGAAATGACTCAGCCCTGGCAACAAGAGATCAGATATTTTATTCAGTAGCATTAGGTCACTTTTTTTTTTTCCCCTCCCTAACCAACCAACTGTTTCACAAGGCAACTGGTTTTGTTTGAAAATAAATATCCATTTTAAAATCTATTTCAGGGAGGAGGAAAGTTACACATTTACAGTTTAGAATAATCACTTGGTTTAATCCACAACATCTGGAAATCTCTTGTCCCTTTAACTCTGCTCTTTGTACTTCAGCCTTGCAAAATTCCACTCCCTCAGGCAAGAATTCTCCTCCACTGGTGAGGAAAGTATGAGTTTATTTCATTATCATCATCATGTTACTGAGGATGAGAGAGTAGATTTTGTGCCTGGACTGGATAACTTTCCAAGACAATTCTGCAAGGCTGATGTCATTAGTAAAGCTAAACTAGAACTACTTCATATAGGCATTACAGCTGAATGAAATATGTGCTTCATTACAACAATACATTACATGATTTTGCATCAGTTATTTATAAATAGTATATGATCTTTTATTGGTTCTCTTAAAACCCAGGCACAATTCATTCTAAAATTTGAAATTCAACCGTACATTGTGCATTGTTTCTTGTAAACGCATAGACTTTTGCTTATTATATATATATATATAAAATATATGTATTCATACAACTAAAGGCAGAGAATAAATGAGGTGCTAAAAGGAGCAGTATTACTCATTTTGGTTCAAACAGCTTTCAGCATAGTTAAAAGTTGCACAAATACTACACTGAAAGGAACTCATTGTTCAAGTTAATTTAAAGCTCTATTTCTAATGACAAACACATCCCCAGCTGCAGCACCCCTAAAAAAGAACAGGATTTAATCATTTTCTGAACATGTTTCTGGTTCAGTTGTCAGAAGTTGTCAGTTTTGTAAATACCAAGGAAACTTAATGCTCCATATTATCACAATGACTCAAATATACCCTGCATATGTATATATAAATAACATATCTTGTCTGGAAGGGAGAGAAAAAGTTGCTGGTGGTATCTTTGAAACCTTTGTAGCAGCTGAGTTTATCAGTTGCCTCCATGCTGTGCAGAGCCTAAATTTAGGTATTAAAAAAAAATAATAATAATAATAATAATACTCCAGACAACATCCTGCATTGGCCATTGCAAGAACATGGCCTCCAGCAGTCTTCTTTGGTACCGGAACAAATTATTTTTGTAAATGTGTGAAAAGTACAACTTCTTTGAAAAACCACTGCAGTGAATATGAATTTACCATTCACCATTAAATGAAATATATCCTGAGAATCCTCAGTGCCCTACATTATTTTGTTATCATTCTTGTGACAAGCAGTATTTTATAATTCTAGCTCACTAAAACAGTAGATGACATAAATTTACTGTTAAAGTAGCCTGGTCTTCTGTACTCTATCATATAGTATTTTACCCTTAAGCAGGGAGAAAAAATAGCAAGCTATCTTGTTCTCCCATCTGCCAAAAACTACTTAACTTGGGGTAGTGCTTCTGTGATTTCAAATTGCAGAAGCTTAAATAACTTCAGTGTTATACCTATTAAATATATTGACAGTCTTACCTTAACATTTTCACAGTACAATGGCATGTTATTTTAGAAATGCATTTCTGCCATAATGTTCCAGAGTTTAACTGCTAACAAGGAGCGTATTTCAGCAAGTTAACTGTGTAAAACATTGTTACATGTAACATTATTTTAACCATGTAGTAGCCTTTAGGTGCTGGGCAGAGGCTTGCTATTTATTCACTCCCTAACATTATTCCTTAAAATCCTTCTTGCACCTTTGCCCAGCAATATGTAGCCATTAACACCATGTCTTTATCAATGTTGCCAACTCTTGCAATTTTATCTCATGGCTCACAATGTTTCATCTTCTTGCTAGAGCCCCAGCTTCTGGAATCAGATTACCTAGGGTGACCAGATGTCCCGATTTTATAGGGACAGTCCCGATTTTTGGGTCTTTTTCTTATATAGGTTTCTATTACCCCCACCACACACACACACCACCTGTCCCGATTTTTCACACTTGCTGTCTGGTCACCCTAAGATTACCACATGAGAAACTGAGAGCCTGTCTACACTTACGGGGCTCAACGCATGGCGATTGATACATCAGCAGTCGATTTAGCGGGTCTAGTGAAGACCCGTTAAATCGACCACAGATCGCTCTCCCGTTGACTCCTGTACTCAACCAGAACAAGAAGCGCAAGGGGAGTCGACGGGAGAATGTCTCCTGTCGACATAGCATAGTGTGGATCCCGCAGTAAGTAGATCTAAGTACATCGACTTCAGCTACGTTATTCACGTAGCTGAAGTTGCATAACTTAGATCGATCTCTCCCCGTAGTGTAGACAAGGCCTAAGCTTTCTCTTTTTTGTTTTTTTAAGTAAGTTCTAAGCCCTCATATCCACAGATAAAAGCTTGAAAGTGTGAACCTTAAATGTTCCAACACCAGAAGGCAAATAATAATAAATTCTGGGTTCTTTTTTTCTAAATCTCAGGATTTTTAAGCCAATTTCATTAGTTGCTAAGGCTTGATTCACAATTTTTGAATGTTTGGGTTTTGGAATGCTGCCTCATAGAAAGCATACTAACAGTTTGTCATTACAAATCCTCCAATCTCACACGTGCTTTTCAAAAGCGAGTGCAAATTTTAGTGGGCTTCTCTCATATCTGAAGCCTGAAACTAGAAGCTGCCATATTAAGTTTCAACATTGATGTACTGTTCCCTTTTGAAGCAGAGAGCATACACCTTTCCAGAGGGCACATTTAATGCATTCAATCAGAAGTAGCAATTGGCAGGAACAGATAAACCTTAGCCTCCCGAATGCTCTGTACAACTCTAAACCTCATCTCGGGGACAGACTGACCCAGGACATTTGGGAAATAGAAAACCTGTTGGTTTGTCAGGTAATGGCTTGATTTTGTGTGTCTTTAGGGATCGGTGATCATTGTGTGTTATGGTAGTATGAGAACAACAAAACACAGTAGAAACCGATGCTATACAACATTTGGAAAACTGGGAAGCCTATGCAGTTCACATTTTTATACATGCACAATATTCTTTCCAGCAGTGTTCATTTGTGACATGGGGGCTTATGCACTTCAGCTGTACTGAAAGAGACTGTCAAGTTTTACAATTAATCTCTGAGAACTCATTTTGCCCATTCAAAAATTATATTTTTATAAAATGCAAAACTTGTGATCAGATAGGAGTATCTAGGCTATATTTTTAAATGAAAAGAAAATAACTTTTATGGGTCTGTTAAAGAAAATTTGCTGATGATATTTTGCTTGAACATATATTGCAGAGTATACAACAGGGAGAAAAAACAATGAAGGAACCACACAGAAAAAGGAAGTTGCATTGGACACAGGATTTCTATGGAACTAACCAAAGAAGCAGAAATCGTGGCTAGGAATTTTTTTTTCAAAGTTTGCCTCTTCATCCGCCAAACTCATTCTAAAAATGGACAAAGCTGCTGTGTCCGCAGAAGAAGCTGGCAAGAAAGAGAGCATTAAGAAAACCATACCACTGATCCAAATGAACAGGGAGAGTGTGCTGGACTGAGATTATACCCTAACTGGCTGTAGACAACTGCTGCTTTTCCAAAAAGTACTCATTACACCTAGAAGCATTTCAAAGTCCCATTGCATGTGAATACAGCCTGTAACTTATTTAAATTGCATGTTTACTGCGCCAGCGAAGATACAATACCAGATATTTTACCAAGAAGGCAAGCTCTTTATCTAATCATTTGCACAATCAAGTAATAATGATGTCTTTTGTTTTCTCTGATACTTTATCATCTGTGTACATAAAACTTACCTTACTGCCTTCGGCTTCTAGAAGACTCTCTACAGCACTCAAATACTGTATAGGCCCTGCAGGACCTTTGCACTGGGATGAATTTCATCTTTTTTAAAACATCTGGTTGTTCTTTGGCTTATCAGTATTGAGCAGAGTTGGGTGGGAAGCTATTTTCCATTTCATGAGAATTTTCAAGAAGTGAAAATGTTTCCCAGCCCAAATAGGGACAAAAAGGTGAAATCTCGAAAATGTACACAAACCCAAAATAAAAAAATCCAATCAGATTGGGTCGTCTGCCATTTTGTTTCAATAATTTCAAAACATTTTGTTTTGATTCCATTTTTTTTTACAATAAATTAGCTTACATTTCAAAATGGAAAGTTTTGACCCAAGAAACAGAGCATTTTAATTTAGAAAGTGTCCAAATAGGACATTTCAACAATTTCAAAACTTTTTTTTTAATTTCAAGATGGGAAATTATTTGAAACTGATCCTTTCCTGTGAATAGTATTGGTTTTGACAAATGAACATTTTCCAGTGAAAAAATTCCAACCAGCATTGGTCTTGAGTCCTAGCCAACCACAATCTTGCATTCACCAAGGCCCATGGCCAAATATGGCCTGATCCAATGCCCATTCAGGCAGCTTTCTATTGACTTCAACCAGAGTTTGGTCAGGGCCTTAATGATTAGTGAGGCATCTATGCAGCACCCCCAATGCAGGTACCTGTCTGAGTTGCATAATGTCTCCCAGAAGAACTGGGCAAATTAAAAAGAGAGAAGCACATCCATACTAAATGTCACCCTTGAAAGGGTTTCCCCTTCAACGGTTATATTTAGTAACTCTTTGGCCTGGTCCACACTAACCCCCCACTTCGAACTAAGATACGCAACTTCAGCTACGTGAATAATGTAGCTGAAGTCGAAGTACCTTAGTTCAAACTTACCGCGGGTCCAGACGCGGCAGGCAGGCTCCCCCATCGATGCCGCGTACGCCTCTCACCGAGCAGGAGTGCCAGCGTCGACGGCGAGCACTTCCGGGATCAATCTGGGATTGATTGCTTACTGCTGGACCTGGAGGTAAGTATAGACCTACCCTTTGAGTTTATGCATGGTGCTTAACCCAGGGGGAGAGGCCAGAAGAGACTGATGCAGAGCAGATATTTTGCAGGGTAAGGTCTGTAGCTGGACAGACTCTGACAAAAAGGGTCTGTGGGATTCTTACAGAGTCCAGAGGGGCAGAAGGGAACAATTCAGACTGAGTCCAGAAAGGCTCTGAGGGAGATTTTGGCTGAGTCCAAAAGGGGCCTGAAAACCACTAACAGGAAGGGTCTGAGAGACACTCTGAGTCCTCAGAGCTGACTGGGAGCCTCAAGTCTGTGTGTTTAAGAGAGTCATGTTGTGGGTTAGCTATGGGACTGGGTCTGAGAGACAATGTCGGTAAGTCTACATTGCAACTGGGACCATGCCTCCCAGCCTGGCTAGTCAGACATGCACTAGCATCTTGGGCTTAGCCACGCCAGTACAAGCCTGCCTGACCCCCTGGGTCCCGAACAACCAGACTGCTATTTTTAGTGTGCTACTTCTACTTGAGCTAGCACATGTCTGCCTTCCGGCGCTGGGAGGCACACTCCCAGCTACACTGTAGACCAGGGATACGCAACCTATGGCACACGTGCCAAAGGCGGCACACAAGCTGATTTTTCAGTGGCACTCACACTGCTCGCGTCCTGGCCACCGGTCCGGGGGGGCTCTGCATTTTAATTTAATTTTAAATGAAGCTTCTTAAATATTTTAAAAACCTTATTTACTTTACATACAACAATAATTTAGTTATATATTTATAGACTTATAGAAAGAGACCTTCTAAAAACGTTAAAATGTATTACTGGCACGCGAAACCTTAAATTAGAGTGAATAAATGAAGACTCGGCACACCACTTCTGAAAGGTTGCCGACCCCTGCTGTAGACATATCCACTCTGACTGAGTCCAGACAACTGACTAGGCGTCTCAGGCCTGTGTACTTAGGAGGGTCATGTTGTGGGTTAGCTATGGGATTGAACTTGGATGATTTTAGGTTGTGTTCATGAACTATATGTAACCATTATTAAATATATATATTTGCAGTCTGGCCAACTAATCCCTGTCTTGCCTTGATTACTGATGTGAATTAATTTTGATTCATGGCTAAGTGCTGCATATTCAGGAAGAGGTATCTAGCTCTTCCATATCTAGCTGTGAGCAAAAGAGACTTCAATTCTTTGTCAAGAGGAGCAGGGCTTAGAGAGAGGAGTCCAAAAGGTATAAAGTCCAAGGTGATATATCAGTTAAGTGCCCTTCCTTGGGTTCTGAAAAATAAATACTAAGGCCAAAATGTTCAAACTTAGGTACATAAAGTAGAAATCAATGGGAGATGTGGGAGTTCAGCATCTATGAACATCATGCAACTTATGTAGGCACCTATATATGGATTTAGATCCTGTTGATTCTACAGCCAGGTGGAAGTTTTAGAGGAATAGGAGATTCCAATCTCATTTTTGATTCCTCGTATGCAATTCATTAACCCTTTTGTACTCACATTACTGAAAAGCCTTCTCTCTGGCTAGGTCATTTTGGTCAAAACTTATTTACTTTTTTCTCTTTTAAGTGAATCTTGTGCTTGGGAAATGAGGCAAAATAGGCAGACCTGAAGAATTAAGCCCTTTATTTATCCACAGAACATTTACAGTATGGACACAGCATTTCAATATGCCCTGTATTGTAGCACCAATATGCTTCAGTTCTGACCACCTCAATAGAAAGATGTTAGTTTATTTTTCATGTCCCTTTAACCCTTGCAATCTCCTGAGATTCCCAAGATGGGTTTCAGATAGAGTGGAGGTTCTGTGATATGGACTCCTAGCCAGTATAAGCTGGACTGAGATCACCAATTCATTCCAGACAGTCCACCAAGAAGACATCAGATATTAGCAACTTTCAGTCACTGCCAAATGGGGCTGGATTATAGAACAGGCACTAGGAGCTTCTGTTTTGAACCATTCATTCCTTATTCTGCACTTTATACACATTTTCTATCACAGCAATAATTATGGAGAAAGGGAAATAACCTTGTACAGCTTTTAATGACAATGATGTGCTTCCACCACTGAGAGAGAGAGAGAGAGAGAGAGAGAGAAGAAACTCCACATTATATCACTTTAGGAACAGTGGAATTTACATTATGATTCAGTAATAAATACTGTTGCTACTAATGGCATCACAGCAGAGGATTCTGAATTATTTGCAGAAGTGAAACTAGACAACCTTTCAGGCCATTTATCAGTATATTATGGAAAGTGAAACAACAGTACAGATTGAACAAAGAAAGTGAATCTGCACTCAGAAACTTTAACTACATAAATGATGAATGAAAAGGAAACCAGCTCAGACTGTTGGGTTCTTGACAAATCTTGGAAAGGTTCATAGATTCATAGATTCTAGGACTGGAAGGGACCTCGAGAGGTCATCAAGTCCAGTCCCCTGCCCGCATGGCAGGACCAAATACCGTCTAGACCATCCCTGATAGACATTTATTTAACCTACTCTTAAATATCTCCAGAGATGGAGATTCCACAACCTCCCTAAGCAATTTATTCCAGTGTTTAACTACCCTGACGGTTAGGAACGTCTTCCTAAGTCCAACCTAGACCTCCCTTGATGCAGTTTAAACCCATTGCTTCTTGTTCTATCCTTAGAGGCTAAGGTGAACAAGTTTTCTCCCTCCTCCTTATGACACCCTTTTAAATACCTGAAAACTGCTATCATGTCCCCTCTCAGTCTTCTCTTTTCCAAACTAAACAAACCCAATTCTTTCAGCCTTCCTTCATAGGTCATGTTCTCAAGACCTTTAATCATTCTTGTTGCTCTTCTCTGGACCCTTTCCAATTTCTCCACATCTTTCTTGAAGTGCTCTACTCAGAAGGCCTGAGTTCTAGTCCGAGCAGCT